CCAAAGACATGAACCTCATTGCCTTTCTCATTCTTCCATACTCTCCACACATATGCTCAACATAATGGCACCTGACATTCAAGAACCTTGTGGAACAATTTGAAAGGATCATTAGGTGCTGCCTGTTTAGAGGAATAGTGTCACCGAGCTACAAGACTACAAGAAGCCCATCTCCTGCACAGTGACTCTCTCTTACTGCTTGCTGCCCATGGGTCTGGATGTAGACCTCTCAGCTACTCCTCCAGGACCATGTCTGTCTCATGACACAATGACACCATGACACCATGCTTCCTTCCTGGTGATAATGGACTCTGAAACTGTAAGCAAATCCCAACTAAATGTGACCCTTTATAAGAGTTGTTGTGGTCATGATCTCTTCACAGCAATAGAACAGTGACTTAGACAGAAGTTGGTACCAGGGAACAGGATGATAAATCTGACTATGGTGCTTGTTGGCAGAATTTTGACTTTGGGAGTTTGGATTAGTTGAAATCTTTAAGGGGAACTTAAAGGAAGACAGTGGTGCTGAGGGTGATTTGAACTGCCCCACCCTACCCCCAGCTCAAGAGTTTTCAAAGGAGAAGAGTACTATTAAGTGACCTAGAGACCATTATAATAGTTTGCCAAAGAATGTGGCTGTTTTCTGCCCTTGTCCAAAAATCTGCCTGAGGCTAAAGTGAAGAGTTTTGAATTAATGGCATTGGCAGAAAAGATTTCAAGGCAGCCTAGTATTGACTGTGTCATATGGTTATTAGTGGTCACTCTTACACTGATATATAACTAAAAGAGCCAGGTGAGCAAGGAAAATACAAAATGAAGTTTAACGGGGAAAAAAAGAGCATCAGGAACTATATTAGAGCAAACTCCAGTTCTCCAGGAACAAAAAAACTCTAAACAAAAGCCCGATGCTAAATGGAGTAAAGGGAGTGGTGACCTCAGAGCAAGACCACACCCAGCTAAGCTTCCAAGTTGTGAAAAAGGAATTAAAGAAAAGCTTAAGCAGTGAAAGAAATGATCAAAAACAGAAAGCTGGTGAACAGATATTTGAACAAGGGGCCAAGTTCCAGCCCCATCAATCAGAAGAACTTGGAAGCTTCAGCCAATTGGTACTGGCTTTAGAGTTAAGGATATGAGAAAAGGGCTTCTGGTGTTGTAGGGTATCCACAAGAGTATACTACTGGGACATGGGTTTAAGCCAATAGAAGGTCTTCATTAGCTGGTCAGTGACTACATGGGTGTTCAGGACCTGAGTGTAGTTCCAAGCCTTTCTCTGGGTGAGCTTTAAACACAAACACCATATTGTTCATTCCAGTGACTACACTGGGTGTTCAGGACCTGAGTGCAGTTCCAAGCTTTCTCTGGGTGAGCTTTAAACACAAACAACATATTGTGTGTTGGCATACTTCAGTAACAAGACAAAGCAGAACTTCAGAAGCCAAAAAGCAAGGTAGAGACTTTCCCACACTTTGGACTTGGATAGATTAGGACTTTATTTTCATTTTGGCTTGTGATGCTCAGTTTTACATCCTGAATGGTACTTGGATCACGGAATCAGTTGTACTGTCTTGGGGCCATTAACATTCCCCACTAGTCTAAGAGGATGAGTCAAATTATGGCTGTGTATTGCTCTATAATATAAGATGGAGGGCCATTCATGAATCCAATCAGAATGAGAATTAAAGGGCCAGTCAGTGCTGGCAGCAGAGTAGTTAGCCAGGGGACCAATTATCTGATCTCTCTCTCTCTCCCTCCCTCCCTCCCTCCCTTTGTGTCCTTCTGTGTCATGGGAAGTAAGTCGAAGCCTTTCTGATTTTGTACGAGCACATCTGGAAGGGAGTCTAACTGTTGTTCTCATTCAGAAATGGAAACTTAGAATGCCTCTAGGTCTTGTCAGCCTATCAACTTAGTTTCTTAATGCTTTGTCTCCTATGAAAAAGGCTGATGTGTCCATAGCTGTTGAGTTAGCTATCCCTGCTCTGACAAGAGTAGAAGGACAGGTATAACTCTTTGTTTATTGTAGTGCACGGTCCATACTGTTTTTTTCCCATTATATAAAGCATCAGAAGAATCATAATTGTTAAGCCATTAGAACATTCCATCCAAGTATTGTTAGGGCCTTGGTAATATTGCTGTTGTCCAGATGTGTTGACCCACAAGGTAGAACAGCAGGAATCATAATAAGGGGAAATACCTAGGTTAAAGGTTTTTCTGCAATAGGCAAGTTTAAGGCCATTGTAAAAGTTCTCTAATGTTATTTTGTTTGCCACCACATGCCGCTGCAACAATAAGTTATGTACTGACAGTATGGTTAGTTCATATTTCTAAGTATCACAGAGGCTGAGTGTGTAAGCATAACCAGAAATCCTGGGCAATTTAAGGCTGGGAATGATGAACTTTCTGTCCAGGGGCCCTTCCTGCAGGGTTGGAGTTTGATTCCCCAGGTTTTCCCTGTTTCCCAAAGGCCAGAATCTTCTTCATGGAATCTTCAGGTTTTTAATTTTATGCCCATTGAATTACATTTTCCTTTTATGCATTGCCAGCGAGAGGTTTTCTTCCTATACATTCATCCATGTCTTTTCAGGAAACCTCTGTTTTACAGTCCCAGTTTTTGAAAAACTAGGAAAAGGATATGCATAGAATTATACTCTGTGTATACATATCTCAAAATAGAAACTCCTGCTTTTTCCAATATAAGCAGATATTTAAAGTGGACCTTAGTGAGCAAAGGTAGAAATGAAGTATGGGTTGTTGTTCTGTAGTCACCTTAGCTATCACCTTCCTTGTATTTGTCTTTCCCAGTTCTCAGGACAGGTCTGTGGGCAGTGGGGGTTGGGCCATGACCCTGTATTCACAACAAACATAAGACTCAGGAAGAAATAGAGGAGCATTGAGTGGAAGATCCTGGGTCCTGATGAAACCTTCATTTAAACTGGTCCATAGTGTGGGAGACAGTGCATTTGGCAAAAGTGTCTGGTTTACACTTTCATGACCTGTGTGTGCTGGGTCCATGTGTAATTCCAGCAACATTCACCACCATTGGAGTGAACAGAATCACCACCTAGGGTACTTGTCAAGTAAGTTTCAGTGATCCTTGGCTAAGCCAATCAACCCAGACAGTATCATCAGACTCAAAGAGAAAGCCATGAAGGACTAGGAAAAGGGTGTATTTCTCAGATAGTTCAGTGCCCAGCCTGTTTGAATGGAATGCCTGTAGTGATTTGAGAAATGAATGGTTTCACAGAATTTTACCAACTGCTGGAGTCTGAGTTGGGGAAGCAGTAGGGGAGGTCTTCCAAATATAATCTCATAGGGGGTATATCCCTCCCTACATGGGACTCAGGGCTCCCGAAGGGAAGGAAAGGAAATGAGTCTATATAACCTCAGTGGATGCCAATGGGAGTTTTGTTACAGTTATTTTGGGACTGTTTTGTTTTAATGTCCTCATTATTCTATTTATCTGCCCAGAATTCTGCGGTCTCTATGCACAGTGAAGATTCCACGCTATCTCTAAAACTTTCATTATGCATTTTCAAAGATATGATTGATATTATCTACAGACAGTTGGGAATGGTGTAATGTCTAAAGAAACTCCATTTTATGTTAGGCATCCATCTTGCTACATAATAACCATTTGACTCTGACTTAAGTCCCTGCAAGATAAGATGCCAGTAACCTCAATTCAGTGATATCCCAACAACCTTGCCAAGAAGCTTACACCCATGACCACCTCCTTTGGTGTATCATGTGACTAGCTGCCTTTTTGGTTTCATGACCATTTCCAGAATATGATATGACTTGCTGACTTCTTGTCTTCTGTAACCTGCTCATGCACACACTCAGGGAGTATTCTTGGGTCTCCTTGACTACATAATTTTGCAGAGAATATCAACTCTAGGTTTGCTTGTGGAGATACTCGAGGTCTTCTTGAGGTTTTCCCATTTAAAGTCCTTCCCTCATCCCTACCACTCTTAGCTCAACAGTCTCAGGTTTGGCTCAGAGCTTGTTGTCCTGCTGGCACCTACAATGCATACAGCTCAGTATAATTATAATTTGAAATAACTCTATGGTCTTTTCTCAGGGTCTCTTACTCTATAACATGGGGAGGAAGGGGAGCTTCATACTCCTCCACCTAACCCTCTCTGGATAAGTACAGGCACAGACTTCCTGGTCCACATGTGCCGCAAAATGTGCCCTTGTAGGTTGCTGAGATGGTTCAACAGTTAAAATGCTTGATGTGGGAAGCTGACAACCTGAGTTTGATCCCTGAAACCTGCACATAGGTGGAAGCAGAGAACTGATGACACAGAGTTGCTCATGACACCTAAACACATTTCAAGGCCTGAATATGCATCCATCAGGAAATACACTAATACTAAAAATTTAAAAATTACTGTGTTTATCCATGTCCTCAGAGATGATCAGCGTTATAGAAATTGGCTGACAGGGCTCAGTAGCTGGCTGTGTTTCTGAGGGTATAGAGAAGGGAGTGTATTTATCTAGGTCAGCTCTTATATTTATGACATAAGCAATTTGTCCTGCAGAAGCATGTGTGACAATTATACAACATGAAGTTCTTCAGTTATGTCAGTGTGAGCATCTGACCTCATGCCTTGGGTGAAATTCTCAAACAAATAATACAATCTATAGAAATACATAGGCACAGAAATCAAGGTTTGGCTGTAGACAGTTTACTTCACTACATTGTAATATTCATTACAGATTGCATGCTTTAGAGCTGTAAGTGCTGACGATGCAGATGAACATTGCTTTTTTATCATAGACAAGTATCAAAGAGTAGTAAACTTGAAGTCAGATCATAAAGTTTCACTGACACCCAGTAAGTTCGTTGGGTGTCTGTGGAAGAAGTGAATATTAAAGTACATCTCCCCACAAAAATTATCACATCCTTCCTTTTACCCCAGACCTTAGAGAACCTGCCAAGTTCTAGCCCTTTGCCCTCCCTTCAACACTCAGCCCCATGAAGTGCAGGCAGGAGATGGCTACAGCTCAGCAAGAGGAAGTAGCTGGACCAGGAGACTAAGTAGCACCACAAGCAGCAGGAATGCAGGGCTGTCTCTGGTTCCTGCAGATGGCTCATGGCTGAGATGTGTACAAACCTATTCATGTTTAAAAAGAGAAGGCATTTGGTGAATGATATCTGCATGCCAAGTCATGTGTGTTGAACGCTTCTCTTTATATTCTCAAAGCAATATGACCAGAATATTTCAGTCTTTATCATTCAAATGGAGAAACTGAGGCACAGATATCTGGATAGTTGCCAAGAGGGACAGAGCCACTAATGTTTGGAGTAAATTACAATTGAGTCTGCCTCCAGACCTACGGCAGAAAGCATGGTAGAGTGATTTTCTCTGGAAGTATTAAGGAAGGATTACTATAAATGATACTTGAACTATGCCTTACAAGGCAGACACAGACCCACACTCACCTGAGCTGTAGAAGCAGTTGAAATTGCTTTTCCCTCTTTGTGGGGAGTTCAGAAAAATATTGACATTTGCTTTTCCACTTGGTGTTACAGTGACTTTGTTAAATACTTCATAGACTGGAATTAACACCTCCTTTTCATAAGAGTAGTAGGAAAATCCAGTTATGTTAACCCCCAAGCAGGTTTTGATGGTAAACAGTGTCCCACTAGTACCACTAAATTTAGTAGCTACCATCTTATCAAAAGATGAGGAAGCAAACTGTCCAAATCGCACAGAGCCCTTCCCGGCGTAACTAAATTTGTTTCGGGTGCCTCGGTAAACTGTGTAACAGTTCTTGTTATTCAGAAGCTGAAGAGCCCTTGTTAAGTAATAATGTAAGGCCTTGTAATGAAAGTTACTGGAATTTTTCTTAAATTCTCTAAGAGCTCCATTAAATTTATCATAGATGTGGTTTCCCGTGTATACCACGAAAGCTGTTCCATGGTAATCACTGAAACCTTTGGGATAGTTAATTTTGTTTTTTATCTCCTTCCATTTTTTCTCTGCCTTTTCCCACTCAACTTTTAAGTCCTTATTCATGTTGAAGCCTTATTCTAACAATTGGGGTGCTTTTTTCTCCATTTCCTGGACACAGCCCTCATACTGATCATCAAATGCATCGGGAGCCATGTCCAGATTGGAAGACTCAGTCTGCCCTGTCACCTGAAAGGAAGAAGTAGGGTTCTTTGTTACTAGCCAAGTTTGCTAAGTTATCAGCATGTTCTGGGTGCTGTCTGGAGCCTACAGCATGAGATGTCACCTCCAACCTCATTCATGGCACTCGCATGGACACAATCTCATTATGTTCTAAGGGTTGTAGAAAGGTAAGGCTGAGATCTCTGATTCTTTTGTAATTATGGATGCTACATTTTTCTTCATTCAATCAAACTTTTAGTAAATATACAAAAAACAGGCTTATTATGATATTTTCATGTACATATATCAGTGTATGTTGCTCATAATCATCCCCACACAACCTTTCCCTTACTGATATCTTTACATGACTTCTCCAAGATTCATGCCCTCTACTATTCTCTTTGTACTCAGCCCTAGGAATGGTAATATCATGAATATGTGATCAGGGAAAGCAAGGTCAACAGGGTGTGGGTTGAGAATATTACCTGTTGGCTTAACAACCAAGTCAGGAAAAATGTGTGAATTTTTGGTGTCATCTTCAAGTTGAAAAACAGCTGCAAGGAAATATAAGACAATGAAAGACTGATGCACACAGTACTGTAACTGTCTGTTGACGGATCAGCTCTGGGGTAATGACTGAGTCTCCATTTCACATCTGGATGTCCAGGCTCCTCTCACACTGCTCCAAGGACTGATTATCAGGATTCTGAATAGCTCTGCTTGGGTCCCTTGCTACAGATGAGGTGACTGAAATCCTCTGTCCCCCAGGATCAATCAATCCTGGTAACACACAGAGCTAGATAGTGTGTAGACCTATTTTAGCAGATCTCTTTTAGGCCTTGATGATGGACTTTGTACAGACTCTAAAATTCTTCTCCATATTTGAATAGGTTGTGGCTTACACTCAGCTAGTTACCTTTGAATGTCTTTTAATGCTGTCATTATTTCTATGATTTATGTATGTTTGCCCCCCCCCACAGCTCCCCAGTGTGGCCATATGAAGGTGGTGACACCTTTATAGGAGAAGTCTCCTGGGAAATGACCAGGTCGTGGAGGCATCAGCCTCAGAACAGATCATTTCACATGTGGGATCCTGCTCAGTTCCTACATGAGCAAGTATGAACCCAGAACCTCTCTGGCTTCAAAGTATTACGTTCTGCACATGGCAATGGCTTCTCTGCCACATTGTGATTCTTCCAGGAAAACCCTAACAAGCCAGCATTGCCATGATGTTTAGACTTTCTAGCTATCAGACTGTGAATTGAATAAGCACCTTGATTTTTTAAACTTTCTAGCATCAAACATTTTGTGATAGTAATAAACACAAACTGAGGAGATAGTTCAATGGGTAAAGTACTTGCCTTGAAAACATAGATCTAAGTTTGATTCCCAGAACCCTTGGGGAAAGAAGGGTGTGATGACATGTACTTGTTTTCTAGCACTGAGAGGTGGACAGAGATGGGTCCCTGAGATCCCTTAGTCTCTCTGCACAGCCAAAACACACTATATGATTATCCCAGGGCTGTGAGAGAGCCTGTCTTTACAAAAATGGTGAGAGCTCTTGAGGAATGACACCAGAGATTGTCCTCTGACTTCCACATGCATGTTCCCACACAACTGCATATGCCCACACATGTGCATGTACACACACACACACACACACTAAAAATAAAAAGCGAGGAAGCAGATTAACACAATCATGCTTTTTAATAGCTGTATCTCATGAGAATGTATTGTTTGTACTACTTTTTGAGGGGTGGAGCTTTAACATATACACGGAAATGCAAGTCGAGAAATGACACTAAAGGTCACTCCCCATTGGTGTGGACCCATCTCTTCATTCCTGCCTATGCCTTTGGAATTCATGAACACTCTCCCCACACTAATCTAAGCATGTTGGGTTCCTTTCCACAAAATTTTTACTTAGCTGGAAAGATAATGTTCTTCACACACCCTGAGAAAGGCAGTGAGGAGCTGATCAATGTGGCTAACTAGTTGTTCTTGGGAAGGCTCGACCTGCAATGCTTGGCTTCTCCTGTCTTGAGTCTTTAGGGGCCACTGCAGAAACAACAGACCTAGGGGTTATGCACTGCAGTGAAGGTTTCTTCTTTTTGTACATCCTCAACTCTTAAAACATCATTAAGTATTGTAAAATAACCATATTCTTCTACATAAAATATCTACCTGAACTCTTGATTCTTCTTTGACAACCAGTTATGGCAGCACACACCTATAATCCCAGCCTTGGAAGGTAGAGGCAGGAGCATCCAAAGTCCCAGGTAAGGTTAGGATGTAATGAGACTCTGAAAACACAAACAAAGGTAAAATTAAGCTCTGGCCAGCATAGAAACAGACGATTTCCCTTGGCCTTCTGTACAACCTGAGCCATTTAGAATCCTGCTACTTTTTCAAAATGCTTCCTGAAGTTAGGTTGTATTAGAAGTTCTCTGGAGCCTGCCACCAACAGAGATGTCTGGACCCCAGTCCCAAAGCCACATATTTAGCATTTCTAATGAGCTCCTTTGTTAATTCTTTGTTAATTTGTAATTTTCTTCTTTTTACTAATGTGTATGCATGCACACATGTCCTGGCTAAGGGGTGTTGTGCATCTTAGTGCAGGTGACCTGAGGCCAGAGGTGTCAGGTTCTCTGGAGCTGGAGTTACAGGCACTTGTGAGCCGCATGGCATTGGTGATGGGAATGAACTCTGATCCCTCTGCAAGAAGAACTACTCCCTCTAACCAAAACGTCATCTCCTCAGTCCACAGTTTGCTTTTGGGGAAGGACCACCAGCATAGATTCCAGTTGGTCAGTACTGAGGATTGAACCCAGAAACTTGTGCATGCCTGTTAAGTACCTTTCCACTGAGCTATATATAGCAAGACAGTAAATCTGATTTCCCTAGCACATATCTCTATTTTCCAGCTCTTTCTTTGGCCTCGGCTAGAGCCATCCCTTTCTTGTCTTAAAACTTAAACTTCAAAACTCTGTATTGAAGCTAGCAATTTTGAGATACACTGGATAGAGGTGCCAGCAGAAATCGATCCTGTTGTGTTGGTCAGTCAGCAGAGGGACTTTCTCATTCAGGAAGTATGGCCCAGCCAGTCTGGGGTAAGGTTTCAACACTCTCCTCCCCTCCCTAGTTCCTCATGTGGTTGATCCAGACATTTGCCTTTCACAAGACTGGTGTCTACTTCTCTCTGGGAAGCTAAGTACAATCTCCTTCCCTGGCCCTGATGCCCCTCACACCCCACACAGACTGAAGATATGTAACTTGAGTCACTTCAGCCCCAGTGTGAACTTCTACAGTTTGTGCCTGCCAATTAAATTCCCTCTGGAATTCTATGTAGCTAACACCTTGGACCTCAATTAGAAAAAGTCCATCTCTCTCTTTTCCCTCATCACCATCCCCTCTTTCCTCACTCCCTCCCACTGTCCTTCCATCCTGCTTTATATCTGCGAGATCCTAAATCAACAGCAACAACGAAAAATTAACCAATGTTCACCAATATGCAGGAGATCCGGAGCAGGAGGACGTCAAGGTCTGGAGTAGACTGGGCTACATAGCAAGAATGTAGTCTTTAAAACTCTTTAAATATTGATAAATAAATCCAAGAAGAGGATAGAAGCTAATGTTTACATAGATCTTGGAGTAAAGTGGGATTAATGAAGCATATGTCCTGAAAACCCAGGAAGTACAGAAATGAAAAAGTCTATACACATAAGTGCCTATGTGCACAAATGCCAGTTGCTTCCTGCAGGCCTGGGAGGTAAATTGAGTGGTCCTGCATTGTATATGTAAGTTTCCAAAACGATCGATAACCTCTTGTCTGTCCTCCATTGGTCTAGACTTGACCCCATCTTGCTACATGGGCTATTTCTTTTCCAGAACTGACCTTCTGGCGTTAACCCTTGAGACATAGACATAAACCCCCCTCTGCTAAACACACTGCAGCCCTCAGATTTTTCTCAGAGTCCTTCAACTTTAGAGGCCTTCCCCTTCAGAGGACAGAGTTCAGATTTGTCAGGTACCTGAGCAGATATTTGATGGCTGGGTCTCTGGCCTCTTCTATACGTAAGTGTGCAGAAGTCAGTGGTATGTCCTTTTTATCCTGTGGACAGTCTACTTTCAGTTTCAGTTTAGATTTCAAAGGGAAGCCAGATGGTTTACGAACAACTTAAATTCTGTACATTGTATTTTGTTACTATAACCTTTCCAATTTCCAACTTTTTTGCTTTGAACTTTTGTTTTTACTTTTGTTCGAGACATGGTTTCATTAGCCTGGATTGGCCTCTTCCTGTCTTATGTGGCTGAGGAACACATGAACTCCTGATGCTGTTGCCACAAAACCAAATTTATTTGTAGAAAAATAGAACCCAGGACCTAGTGTTACTTGTCAATCACTCTATTAATCAAACCGCATTTCCAGTTGTGTCTGTATCAGAAATATTTGGGATATTCCCCAAAAAACTGATTGGGGTGTGTGTGTGTGAGTGTGTGTGTGTGTGTGTGTGTGTGTGTGTGTGTGTGTGTGTGTGTGTGTTTCAGAGAGAGAGGTAGATACTGCAGAAAGAAAAAGTTGGTTGATCTTTGCCCTATACACCAGTTTTACAAATTACCTAAAAGCCTGTTGTGGTGGCTGACATCTCTCTTTCTCCCTCCCTCTGGCTTCCCATCTCTCCCTCCTTCCCTCCCTTCCCCTTTCTAGCATCAAAAATTTTGTGATAGTAATAAACACAAACTGAGGAGATAGCTCACTGGGTAAAGTACTTGCTTTGCAAACATAGACCTGAGTTTGAGTCCCACAAACCATAGCAAAATATTGGGGTATGATGACATGCACTTGTATTCCTGCACTGGGAGGTGGAGAGAGATGGGTCCCCAAGGTCCCCTAGTCCCACTGGGCAGCCAAACCAGCCTATATGGTTTTCCCAGGGCTATGAGAGACCCTTTCTTTACAAAAATGGTAGAGAGTGCCTGAGGAATGACACCAGAGATTGTGCTCTGACTTCCACATGCATGTTCCCACACACATGCATGTGTCCACACAACTGCCTACACCCACACATGTGCATGGACACACACATGCAAAAAGGAAAGAAAAATAGAGAGGGCCTACGCCCTATCCCAAAGGTTATGACAGACTCTGAAGACCCCTTATGGTATAGGTAGGGTGTTAGTTGGGGGGAAGCAGGGGAGGAGGGAAGGGAGAGGGAACTGGGATTGACATGTAAAACAATATTGTTTCTAATTCAAATAAAACAATGGAGAAAAAAGAATCTTAAATATGATATGGACAAATTCCAAAAAAAGAAAAATAAAAAGGAAGGAAGCAGACTAACACAATCAGCATTATAAATAGCTGTATCTCATGAGAATGTATTGTTTGCACTACTTTTTGATGTTTGGAGTTTTAACATATACACTGAAAGGCAAGACAAGCAATCACAAGAAAGATCAATCCCAGTTGGTATGGACCCATCCCTTCATTCCTGCCTATGGCTTTGGAAAATCATGAACACTCTCCCCACACTTA